ACGCTTCGTGGCCCCGCAGGGAGCTTCACCGAAGGCCCCAGTGACAGGGTTCGCATGGCGGCCCCGCCCCATCTCGGCACACCCCTCACACGTTTCGTGGCTCCATAGGGAGCTCCACCGAATGCCCCAATGGCAAGGTTCGCATGGCGGCTCCGCATCCATTGCGGCACACCCCTCACACGTTTCGTGGCCCCATGAGGAGCTCCACCGAAGGCCCCAGTGGCAGGGTTCACATGGCGGTCCCGCCTCATTTCGGCACACACACACACACACACCCCGCACGCTTCGTGGCCACATAGGGAGCTCCACTGCAGGTCTCAGCGGGAGGGTTCGCATGGCGGCGTCGCGTCAATTTCACCACGCCCCTCACATGTTTCCTGGCCCATAAGGGGGCCCCACCGACGGGCCCAGTGGCAAGGTTCGCATGGCGGCCCCGCCCCATTTGAGTACACCCTTCATACGTTTTTTGGGGCCCCACAGGAGGCTCCACCGAAAGCCCCAATGGCAGAGTTCGCATGGCGGCCCCGCCCCATCTCGGCACACCCCTCACACGCTTCGTGGCCCCATAGGGAGCTCCACCGAATGCCCCAGTGGCAGGGGTCGCATGGCGGCCCCGCCTCCATTGCAGCACGCCCCTCACACGCTTCGTGGCCCCATAGGGAGCTCCAGCGAAGGCCCCAGTGGCGAGGTTCGCATGGCGGCCCCGGACCATTTCGGCACACCCCTCACACGTTCTGTGGCCCCATGGGAGCTCCACCGAAGGCCCCAGTGGCAGGGTTCGCATGGCGGCCCTACCCCAGTTCGGCACACCCTTCACACGTTTCGTGGCCCCGCAGGGAGCTCCACCGAAGGTCCGCCACATTTCGGCACACCCCTCACACGTTTCGTGGCCCCATTGGGAGCTCCACCGAATGCCCCAATGGCAAGGTTCGCATGGCGGCCCCGCATCCATTGCGGCACACCCCTCACATGTTTCGTGGCTCCATAAGGGGGCTCCACCGAAGGCCCCAGTGGCAGGGTTCGCATGCCTTCCTCTGCGTATTTCGACACACCCCTCACATGCTTCGTGGCCCCATTGGGAGCTCCGCCGAAGGCCCCAGTGGCAGGCCCCAGCCCACTTCGGCACACCCCGCACACGTTTCGGGGTTCCCATCCGCGTTGCCCCGTGCTCCATCCCTCTTGCGGCGCGCTGCCTGATGTGTCCTTCGCCGGTCAATGTTTTTCTCTGGGGCCGCGGATTGGAACAGACAAGTCGGCGGACGTCAGGAGAGGCCTGCCGCGGTGGGGGGTCGCCTGAAGCCAGCCTGGATCGCCTCCATGATCCACTCCTCGCGAGGGGGGGGTTCAGGACGGGAGGCGGAGAGGCGGAAGGCTGTCGTCGAACGTTGGATTGGGCGTCGTGCCGTTCTTGCGTGAGGGGGCGGGAGGAGGGAGAAAGGAGGGGGAGGGAGGAGGAGGGAGTATGAGGAGGAAGGAGGAGGAAGGTCGTGGAAGGAGGAGGGCAAGAAGAGGAGGATGAGAAGAGGAGGAGGAGGACGAGGAGGAGGAGAAGACGAATAACAATCATAAGAAGAAGAATAAGACGAATAAGAAGAGGAATTATCATGATAATAATAAGAAGAAGAAGAAGAAGGAGGAGAAGGGAGAAGGAACACCGCATGAAGAGGGAGGCGGGGAGGGGAGAGAAGGAGGGGCGGTGGGACAGCGAGAGGAGACGGGAGGACGGCTTGGGGTGGGAGGGGTGCGGGAGGGAAGGTGAGAAGAGCGACGCGTGGGGTCCGGGAGCGAAGGGGTGCAGCAGGCCGACGCCTCCTCGAGGGAGGGCAGGGCCCGGCGCAGGGAGAGCGCGCGGGGCAAGCCTTTCGGCCCCGGCGGGCGGAGGCCGCGGGGACAGGCCCTGCCGGCGTCCGCGCGGGCGAGGCCGACGAAGCCGAGGGCCTCCACCCTCTGCTCTGGACGCCCGATGCGGGCACGGAGAACAGGGGGCGAGAGGCCCCACAACGAGTGGCGTGCCCCCAAACCGAGAGCGGCCAACTGTTGGGCGGGCGGCTTTCGGTCGTCGCCCGCCGACGTCCGCTGCGGCGCGGGCAGCGAATCCTGTCCGAAACGAGCAGGAACTGCTGATGGGCATCTTGCCCGTTCTTGCTGTACCCATTTCGATCGTCCCGATCTGTGATGAGGTGGGGCGTCGGCGGCGCTCAGGGCCGCGCTGGTGAAACTCAGCGTCAAGTCGAGGCGACAAGCTGCAGCCCTCTGAGAGGCAGGCTCCCTCGAAGGCGCAGCCGTCGTCGTCGTCGACGGCGACGACGACGACACCCCCAGCGCTCCTGAGGCCAGGGACAACACGGGGGCGTCCGCGCCCCCCGGGGGGCCGCGAGAGCTGGCCGCAGCCATTGCGCGCCTTCTCCAGGGCGCCGACCGCGGCGGAGCCCGAGCCCGAGCCCGAGCCCGAGCCCGAGCTGGCGGTGTGACATCGGGGCTTTCGGGTCGTACCTCGGCTCTCTGGCGGCCGTTCGGGACGCTCTGGACACCCCCAGAACGCCCTCGGCGAGGCGCAGCTGCTGACAGGCATCCCGACGCTGGAAAAGCGCCCAGGACCGACGACGATGCCCGCAAACCTCGAAGACTTAGAAACATCGAAGACCCACACGAGCCCGATTCTGAGCACGAGCCCGAGATCTCCGCCTTTGCCCTTCTTCATGGTCCTCGGGGCAGCCCCGACGGTTGCGAGCGCGCGCGCGCCAGAGAGGGCCAAGGCGCAGGTGCCGACTGGCTTACGCACACGCGCCGCGCTAACGCGGCGCTGCTTCGAAGATAAAAAATGCAACGCTGCACCGCGGAGGGCGTGTCTCCGTATGTCCGAAGAAGCGCGAACATGGATTAGCCGCGCGTGGATTCGCGACGGGTCCCGCTTCCGTACGGAATCGGCGCCATATGTCGCCAAATCGGGCAGCATTGCCTCCAGGCTTCGGGGGAGGACCTGCCCCAATCTGTGGATCTGGCGCTCACGCGCCAGGTCCAAGGATTCTTGATTCATGTTAGCGTGTGCCCGAGATACGCAGAAGGCGCGTACACACTAGAGTCGAGGCGCATGAGGATGCACATGAAGGATGCAAGGGCCTTGGAAGGCCATGTCGACACCTTTCGAGAGGGGCGCGGCCAGCGAAAGTGGCCAATGATGACCCGAAGGGAACGATGCAAGGGTAACGATGGAAAGTGGCTCATCCATACTATGAGACCTGACTGCCCAGACATCTTGCTGCTCCACTTTTTCTGATGCGTGGGCCCTAGAGGTCCGGACCACTTCCCCAGACCGGTTGGTCGCCCCGAATGGCTCTTTGACGACCCCGAGGCCCGGCGAGGGCCCCTGGAGGCCCCAAACAGCCCCACACCGCCCGCCCCATTTTTCCCAATTATCCTGTGGTGTTGGGTCTTCGTTTTGAATAGACAGCGCCCCGCGTTCCCTCCTCGCTCCTCCCTCCTCCTCCCACCTCCCTCCTCCGCCTCTGCGCATCTGGCCTCCGCATGTCTCTGTTTCGGCACACCCCTCGCACGTTTCGTGGCCCCATAGGGGGCTCCACCGAAGGCCCCAGTGGCAGGGTTCGCATGGCGGCCCCGCTCCATGTCGGCACAGCCCTCAGTCGCTTCGTGGCCCCATTGGGGGACTCCACCGGAGGGCCCAATGGCAAGGTTCGCATGGCGGCCCCGCCGCATCTCGGCACACACACCCCGCACGTTCCGTGGCCCCATAGGGAGCTCCACTGCAGGCCTCAGCTGCAGGGTTCGCATGGCGGCGTGGCGTCCATTTCGGCTCACCCCTCACACGCCTCGCGGCCCAATATAGAGCTCCACCGAAGGCCCCATTGGCAGGGTTCGTATGCCTTCCTCCGGTTATTTTGACACACCCCTCACATGTTTCGTGGCCCATCGGGAGCTCCGCCGAAGGCCCCGGTGGCAGCATCCGCATGCGTCCCCCAGCCCACTTCGGTACACCCCGCACTCGGGGTTCCCATCCGCGTTGCCCCGTGCTTCGTCCATTTCGCGGCGCGCTGCCTACGATGAGAAGGCAATGTCCTATGTTACTCGCAGCTGCATGTGGTTGGGTCCTTCCCCAGGATAATTTGTTCGGAGCGTCGGGTGTCTGGAGGTCTCCTAGATGGGGTCGGAGTAGATGGGGTCGGAGGATCGCGCCGCATCGCCGAGACATTGGCGACGCATCGGCGATGCATAGGCGATGCGTCGGCGATGCGCCAGCGATGCATCGGCGACGTCGTCGGTGCATCGGCGACGCCGGCGTGGAGAAAATCGGGCTCCACATCGAGCCGCATCGCCGATTCATCGGCGATGCGGCGCTATCCTCCGACCCCATCTATGAGGAGCCGAACTCTATACACCGACGCCGTTGTCTGGCCTCAGACTGAATCTCGCACAAGAAAGCGGATCGTGGTGTATACGGAACCCTGGTGTCTACATTCTTTGTTGTTTCCTCGGGAAAATGGACAAAACAAGTATACACCACACCACCCCGACGTCGTCCCCGACCCTCAAAAAGTCCTGGGATTGAGAAACCGCCCGCCACTGGTAATGTATATGCTCCAGTTTCCGAGTCTACTCGGACCCCACCTAGGAGGCCTGGAGTCTCTGGGTCGGGACGGTGCGCGGGCCCCTGGCTTCTGCCGCGAGGGCGCACGCAGCACCGCAGGCCGCGTGGCTCATGGCCTGGCCCTGGTCGCCTCCGCGCGGCGGGGGTGCACGGGGCGCCCTCTGCGCACACCTCCGGGCCCACCCGCACCGCCTGGGGGGGGAACCGGGGAGCGGCGGAGGAGGAGGGAGGAGAGAGGAGATGAGAGAGGAGGAGGAGGAGGAGGAGGAGGAGGGAGGAGGAGAGAGAGTGAGAGGAGCAGGAGGAGAGGGGAGGAGGAGGAGGTGAGGAGGAGGAGGAGGAGGAGGAGGAGGTTTTTGTTCCTCCTCGTGCGATGTGGGCCCGAGGGAGCCAGCGAGCGACAAGCGGCGCCATGCGCAGGCCTGTACAGACGTAGGCACCGATGTTTTGAGCGCTTTACGGGAAATCGGCCAGCTCGCGATTATCGTCGCGCTCTCGCCGCGCTTGGGATGCTGGCCCTTCAGGCACCGCCTCCGTTTGTGCAGCGCCGCCTCGGAAATCTTCCACCCAGGGCGATTTTCGGCGGGGCAAGGGCCCCCGAGACCAGCAGGCTTGCTGGTCGCGTACATGGAGCACTTCTTACAAAACAATAAAGTCTCGCCGACGGGAGCTCCAGGCTTGGCCGCGCGCTCACACCATTCGACGTCGAGGGAGTCTAGAAAGGACCCCACACGGACAAAACTGGGGGGTCGATCCTCGACTCCTCGGCATTCCTTACGGTCGACGCCGGCCTCACGCGTCGTTTTACAACGCAGCCAGCGGACGCATTGCCAGCGACTCCTGCCGACCACAACGAATTCGTGGGCGATCATGGCGGCTGCCACGCGAGAGGCGGGCGGCCTGCGCAGGTCGGCCCATTCCTGCTTCGGGGTGGGGCCCGTGCACAGCACGCGGGCGACCCCTCGAAGAAATTGCTTCATCCTCGCGAGCCGGTCCTCGAGATCGGCGACGAGGGAGGTGGAGGTGCCGTGGAGGCGAGCTCCTAACTTCGCGGCCTTATCGGCCTGGTCATTGAGCCAGGCAGCCCACTCCGCTTCGGAGGCGGGCTGCTCGACGACGTGCACGTGGGATTTTTGTTTAACCAGGCCTGCGTAGGCCTGGTCCTGCCGAGGGAAGGCCCGCCAAAAACCCGCGAACGGAGACGTGGACTTGCCCGCTTGGGCCGTCCCACTCCTGGCCGACCCCAGGACCGAGGAACAATCACCTATGTACGTGCACGTGCCGTCCGAAACTTCGGCGCCCGTGAAAAAACGCTGGTGGCTGGTGCTCGGCGCATACGGCGGACTGCGGCATCCCGGCATGGATCGAGCCGATGATCATGCGCAGGACGCCCTGCACAGCATCCCACTGGACGACGCCCCAACCCGCCCGCACGAGGGAGGTGAGAGGAGAGGTGGAGCAAGACCCATCTCCCGCTATCTTCTCGCCTGGCACAACAACAAAGTCTTTGACTGGCACCTCGCGCTCCCCGATGAAAGCGCGCATTTCTCCACGAGGCGGCTCTGGCAGCCGCGGCGGAGGCGAAGGCAGGCACAGGTCCAGCAAAACCGTGTCACAGAGCGAGCGGCCAGCCTCAAGATCGCCATGCCAGCCAGTCTCCGCCGCGCGGCCCGCCGCGAAGTGCGGGCAGCATCCGACGCGATGGGCGACGGTGTCTGGCACCCC